ACTACCAAACGTATTTTCAAAAATGATTTCTGTCTGAGATTGAAAACGTTTTCATTTCCATTTTCATACAAAAAACAAAATCATTTCAAAACGAGTTTTAAACGCACTCATTACGTTTCACTTATTGAAAATTTGTGAGCTACCATAGGGATTCAATGCACATATATAATTCAAGTTACAATAATAACAGATAAATTAATAATATCAATTTATTCATTTAATTATTAATTTTAGAGCCACTCCACTGAAAGCAAGCATGTAGCTGAACTCTTGAATATATGCCATATTACAAAAACTCTAAATAGTTTTGCCTGTGATATCTCATATATGTAATATCTTCATAAGTTATTCATAATCAACTTGAGATTAACTTCTGATTTATTTCTTAATTATTTTATCTCAACATTACATTATTTAAAATCCTATTCGTAAATGCATATAAATAGAATAGTATTCAATTAGTAATATAACCAAATGACCGAAGTCTTTTATGTTGTTTTTTTTTTTTTTTTTCAACTTCAGAATAATACCTTTGTGAAGATACATTAACACTTCTTAAAAGAGTTACAGATTTTACACATGTGAATCATGTCCTCATCGTTTACAAGTCATACCTCTAACATACTCATATCAGAATTTTCAATCATCAGAATTCTTATTTTTGGTATTTAGAAGGCACAAATCATTAAAATGATTATCGAACATGAAAGGACAGGTTGTGCAAAATTTTATCCATCAAAGGCCAAAAGATTGTGCTAATGATATATAATATGTTGGTCTTTTAATTAGCGAGTAAAGGGTGAACGTGCCAAGAATTGGAAGAGGACAAAAAGGTGATACTATTACTTTTTGATAATCTCCTCGAAAGAGTGCCGAAAGATATAAAAAATGTAGCAATAATACAACAAGATTCATAAAGTGAATGTGGGGACTTGGCAATTGTGCAATAATTCATCCAATTATATATATATATATATATAAAAAAGAGATTATGGAATAATGCACGCAACAAAACATTCTCTGAACATTTCCTCGTTAGGTACATTCATTGAATAAACGTATTTTTGCAAACAATTTCTTATTTACAAAAAATAAATACAAAGGGATGATTTCTTAAGGAGTTTTTCAAGACAGAGACCCTATCAGTAACACATATTTCTGAACATTGAATTTAATAAAAGCATACTAAAATAATTAAAATAAATATACAAAATAAATTCAGTATTTTTAGAATTCTCAAATGATTGAACGCATTTTTCTAGTGGATTCTACAAAGGAAACCGATTAACCTCATCAAGGCTATGGGTGCTCTTAACATAAGATAAAAGTGCCTCAATCAAATCACATATGTGAATAAGACATTATATTTTATACAGTTTTTTTTTTTTTTTTTTTTTTTCGCGCAACTATATACATAGTGATATTTATTAACTGAAGAACAATCTAATTACAGTATTGCCCATGAAAAGACATCCGTGATGGCCGGAAGAAGGAAACGCCCATTTTGGTCATTTTCGACGGCGTCGTTTCTGTATATCTTGGTTGTTTTTGATAAGTTCCGTGATACCTTGCTTGTTCCACACAAATGTTCAATAGCCGTTAACTCAAAGCTGGAGTAATTGATAGCAATCTCACATTCTTTGAGGAGAGAGAGACGTTCCTTTTGGATAATGTCAAAATCTGACAGCTACATGCAATATTTGCTTAAGAACGTCGAATAAGCACGAGACACGTGTAACAATGTAGTTTCTTCTTGTGCAGTGGCACCATTTGAGTGGCTGGTGATAATTCTTTACAAAAACCCCCCGTGAGTGGATCACTGACGGGACATATCAAACCTGACAAGTGGAATCTTGTCACCTTGGCGAGGAAATCCAAGAACTCGACAGTTGGATTTTTTTTTTTTTAACTTTGCGTTGGACGGTTCACACAGAGCTGAAACACGGTTCTTAAAGATAATTCCTTTTTAAAAAGGTCATTATCATTATTACATACACACGTCACCAGATAATTTAGTCCCATAACAAAAATAAATAAATAAATAAGATAATGACATAGAATGCCCTAACCACCGGTTATGAAACTAATAACGGTATTTTAGATCTATTTAGTTCACTGATTTAAGTTTTTAATTTGAGTTAAAATGTGACTTTATATTAAAATTTTTTACTGTAATAAAAAAGTTAGATGCGACTATTTCTGAGAGCTTTTTACTGTAACAAAACTCAAATTTTAAACTCGAATCGGTAAAATAAACGGGACCTTTATCTACAGTACAGGGTGAATTCTACGATCAATTTGGTCTGAGGACCAATAACCGAATTGGGCATAAACTGAGTCACCAATCGATTGTCTTAAGTTGATGGATGTGTCAATGAGAAAGTAAAGTGTGAAAGATGAACTATAACATAAAAATTTAAGGTGCGTTTGATAGATAGATCTAAAATTATAATTCTGAATTCTAATTCATAATCAGTGTTTGTTTAAAGTAATTTTAAATCATGATTCATAATCAGTGTTTAGTTTGATGATTATAATTCATGATTCAAAATCTGATGTTATGTTTTAAATTAGCTCAAATCACGATTCTAAAACCACTCATCTCTTGATTCAAGGTGATTCAAACTCTTAATTCTGAATCATAATTTCAGAATCATGATTTAAACCCAAAATCATGAATATGATTAGCTTTATCTACAGTGAGAGACTCCTATAAAAACCCATCAATAGAACACCATATTTTGACCGTTATATTACTTTTTTAACGATCAAATCTGTAGAGGAAGTAGTTCTATACGTCGCGTTATAAATTTTTAATATGAACTTAATTAAATCTGACGGTTAAAAACTTAATCCAACGATCAAAATAGAGTATTCAACTTGTGAATATTTTTTTTTAAGAAGTCTCACTGTAAAAGCTCCTAAAAATTTATAGTGATTTTATTCCCCGTGAAGATTGTATTTTTGTCTCTATAATGGAGAAAAATTACAAACATACCTGAATTGAAGAATGGGAGAAGTTGTAGAGAGGATTATTTTGTCGAAAAAATGCAAAAGACGATGATATCTATGATATCAAATTTTGAGTTGATTTTATTTTTATCTCATTAAATGGTCTTTTAAGTCACCAACAAATCCTAAATGAGATGGACAGTAGAGATGCACTACCGCGTCTTGTTGAGATCTGCCCCACCTGAGGGTGTCAACAACCACACCAACAACAAGAATTGAGGTCCTTACAAACCCATTTTGTGCCCTTGTTCATATCATCAATCACTTAATAGATGTTTGATTCATAAATTAAAAATTATTTTATTTTACGTATATTTTTTATGAAAAAAAATATTATAACAAGTCACGAATCATAATTTAAATTATAATACGAATCTCCCTTCCAATCTTGATTCTTAAATGTTGTCTCCAGGATGGAGCTTATAATAGAACGTTCATCCAAAAGACCCTAATTTGACTAAGGATAAAGCCTACCTAATAATCTACGCTCGTTGACTATATGGCATTCCATTATTGGTTCTTTAAGGGTCCGTTTAGTTCGCTGTTTCGAGTTTTTAATTCGAGTTGAGATGTGATTTTATGTGAAAGCTTTTTACTGTAGTAAAAAAGTTAGATGTGATTATTTGTGAAAGCTTTTTACTGTAGCAAAACTCGAATTCTAAACTCGAATCAGCGAAATGAACGGGGCCCCAATTTTCATGCACGATATTGCCAACAGTTGAAATAGTTTTTAAATTGGCAAAACAATTTTTTTTTTTTGGTTGGTTGGTTAATAGTCAAACAATAAGTTATATTATCTGTTAGACATCTGGGCCACTGAATTTAATTTTCCTTTCTATTTCTTGATTGATGGTGATCAATTCTATGAATGAATTAGTAATACAATTTTATGTTTGTGGGGTCATGGAGACATAATCCAGGTTTGAATATCCCCATCAACTAATACAATAGTATTTAATAGTTACACAAGTACTTTATCAAAAAAAAAAAAAAGGCAAAAGAATAAAGTTCTTTATCTAAGACTTAAAATATGTTTGGTTAAAGAGTTAAAAGTAATTATTGTTAAAAAAATAATGTAATAATATAAGGATATGAATTAAATTTGTAATATGCTATTTATAAATAAAAAGTTAAAAATTAAATAAAAAAGCTTTTCGTAAGTTGTTTTTCTCGAAGAGCTCATAAAAATTATAAGCATTTTAAAAATATTTATTCAAACAGACTCAAAAACGGCTTTTTTTAAAACCAATCCAAAACAGGCTCTGCGTAATCTTGAAATTCTTTACACAAATTCTTTAGTGGAAAACAAGCAGACCTTCACATAGTTATTGCACTGTTTCATAAATAGGGGTGGTTTTTGCAATTTAATTACCTCATTCATTTGAAGCTTAGGACCAATAAATAAATCTATGTTATTGAAACATTTTCAAGACATAAACATTCCAAAATCACTAACCATGAAATATTTTAGTACATTGAGAGTTCAGCTAAGCGCTAATGGAGTTGCAAACCCCAATGAATGATCAATAAGCACTGCCTTTTCAGTTTAGTTTTGACATGTCGATTTTGTTACTCACACTACTGGTATGTGATCGAACGATTAGGATTGGCAGTTAAATATTTGACCTTGACCCTTGGGTATATTTTCAATATGACTTGTCACGCTTTGTGTATAAATTTTTTCTTAGAAAATTAAAATAAAGGAGGCAACATGATAAAGCACTTAAAAGCATAGAACTAGCAGCAAATAAAATAAATACAATAAGATAAAAGCATTGAACATGGCATTCCGAATTAACTTTTATAAGTTTTCTTTATACCTAAGGTTGGAATGGTGTAACAAAAAATTTTAGTTATCCCAAACCACTGTTACACTTGTATAATATCAATATTACGCTGAATAAATATTGTATAGTACTTCTCACTTTCATATATGAAGAGCAGCCTTACAATGCCAGCTGACCAAAAACTAAGACCTAGTTAGCTTTAGTAGGTCGCAGTTGCATGTGAATTCTTTTTAGCCGCAAAATGGGGGAAAGTTTACGACTCGTCTGTCTGGTATATGGGTTCAAATTAAGATTCTTGATTATGATTTTTAACATTCAAAATTTTTATAAGAGAAAAATATTATAACAGAACCAAAATCATGGGTTTACACTGCAGTAGAACCCATATACCAAACATTCACTTCATATTAGATGTCACTTCCATTAACAAGCTCATTTACAAGACAAGCTTTACAAAATGTCTGAAGTCACAAAAAGGGTGAACTCCACTTTAAATTAGAGAAGCTAGAATCAGATGAACTGCTGGAGCCACTGAGAGTTTACTGCATCTTTTTGCATGTCGTCATTCAACATGCTTATTTTTTCCATTATCTGCTTTCGATCCATTTTCTCCAACGGCAACTCGGAGAATTCCTTCAAGAACTGATGTGCCCGGGCTGCACCCCGAGAGATATCGTCAGGATCACACTCTCTCTTGCGCTTCGACCCCGCCTGTCAATTGTGATAAAGAAAGTAAAAATTACCTCCTAATATAAAAAAACCACGTGTTGGACCTTCCAATACAAAATTATCATGCATTTGGTTCAGTCTCTCATTGAGAAATCATGTAAAGATCATCCTATATATGCCTATCCACACAAATGCTCACATATAAAAAGGATCTGTTATAACATACAACTAGTGATGGTCCAACTCCAAAAACCTTGCAACTTTTAGGTAAGCGGTTCACAAAAAATTTGCTGGTAGTAAATTTAGACTTAAAAGTAGTAACAAGATCCATGGACTTTTCTATCTGTAGTATAATCTAACATATGTCTACCGAGTTCAATTATATGGATAATCCTACTTGCAATGCATTTGAAGTTTTTCTTTTTGGTTATTGAATGACGTTGTTTTTTTTTGAGAAGTTGATTCAAGTTTATCCAAGTGAAAGACAGGTTTATATTTAAAGATGAAGTTGATCATTGGTAGTGCCCTTGTTGTGAACTTTGCAAGAATACCGTAGAATGTACCTCATGTTTAAAACCATTTGAGATAATTGTGTTGGGTGAGAAATCTTCCAATTCAGAAGCCTTTTCTCTGGCAAGGGCCACGACCGTCTCGGGAAAATTTGCGAATTCTGCTACATGGATACCGAAACTTTGATCACAAGCCCCTGGCTCGACCTGGAAAAGTTGGTGACACGAAGGTGAACAAGTGTGCAGTTTTTTTGACAAATATACAGGCAGTAGGCCTCACCAAGCAAATTAACATGATGGAAGACAACATGTAAAAAACTCAATCAGGAAATAAGATTTTAGTTTCTTCCAAACTTCTTAAATGATGTAAATCATGATTCATCAAAGATTTTTGAAATTTGAAATGAACCTTAGCATGATAATACTAAAAAGATATGGCTAAATAAGAGATCTACCTTGTACAGCATGGTCAGCTTGCGAGTTGACGTGTCAATATGTGCACTAACATGATAGTTTGCTACACCAACAATATGCTTGCTGTTGGGCTTATGGTCGGGATTTCCATGAGCTAGTGCAGTCAGTTCATGAAAATGGGTCGCAAACAAAGTAGGTGCTTTAATCACTGCAACAAGGTGCTCACAGAGGGCCCAAGCTAAACCTGAGAATTGGGGTAGACTTGATGAGACAGCCAAAAAATTCGTTTTTTTAATTATTTTATTATTTTTACTTTTTTTTTAATAAAAAACTTAGGGTGTCCAGGCCTCTTTTAGCACCTTACTAATCTCTAAAGACCTCCTATCGGAACACACCGGGACCAACTAAGGGAGGTACCCCAAGGGGACTCTAACTCAAGACCTCCCACTTGTAAGGTGAGGTCCTGAGCCACTTAGCCCTTGGGGTCCAAAAAGATTCTTTTTAACTATATATTATTTTTCTTTTCTTTTTTAATGATTCCCCAACAATGTTTCTGGTTCTTGATTTGGTCGCAGGTCTTAATAGACAAGTGTATCACGTTTTTAAACTTCAAATTATTTCCTAGTTTCCAATAAACATTTTTAACAATAAAGCATCATCATCTATTGTCTTGGTTAAACAATGCACTACAGTGTTCTTTCTTTTTGACTGTAGTAAATATAGAAATCAACTTTCAGCAAAAACCAATATGTATGATTGCCAAATCAACATATCAACGGATATAAGTTATAGGAATATCTAAATATAAAGAAGCTGAGCTAATTAAAGGTACCGATATACGTTGTCTCACCTATGAAGTGATCTAAAAGTGGGTATAAGTGGAAAAACAGAGGGAGGGGGGGAAGTAAACTAACCAAAGCCATCATAAGTTGAGGTTCCACGGCCCAGCTCGTCAATGATTATCAATGACTTATCTGTAGCACCTTTCACAATCGATGCAGTCTCGAGCATCTCTTGCATAAAGGTAGAAACCCCGCGTAGCTAACAGGATAAGGGAACACATATTTAATCATAGTTCGTAGCAAAATAAGATGTATACTCTTTTCATGAAGGCAACAAAGGAATCATTTTGAGACAAGTTGAAAAATAAAGCAGTTCTCTAACAGACCCTTAACAATGAAGATTAAGGTAGCAAGATTGAGGATTTCCTGGTTCTTTATTCCTTGAGGATTTTATATTCCTCTTTTGTTGTAATCTTTTCTCTCTTCTTCATTAATAAATTTTGTTCTCGTTTCATTTCAAAATAAATAACTAAATAAATAAGTAAAATAAAAGGTAGCAAAATTAAGGATTGAAGAAATCAGCAATCACTAATAGCAATGCCTAAGCATTTGGCTAGATACGTTCCTTGTAAATCACACCAAAAAGATGGTTGTGATTAGGGACATGAACGGGCCAAAGAACAAAAATTAAGTTATTTCCAATGCAAAGCTTTTGATCCTGAAAATGATAGATTCAGGCAAAATAACGAACATTCAATCTAATATATAGGACATCAGTTGGAATCTAAGCCATGATTTTTTTTCCCAAAATGCTGAGTAAATTTTTACTGAAAATGCGAGTATACTTTTACGATGTCCAAACTTTAAGAGAACATTCTGTGGTACTTACTTGGCAGTCACCAGCACCAACTCGAGCAAAAATGCAATCACGAACAGAAATGGTAGCTTTGTCACATGGAACGAAACAACCAACTTGTGCCATCAGAATGTTCACACCAACCTTCAAACACACACAAGAAGTGGTAAACAATGTTCACCATAAGTACAGATTATAGGATCTTCCTACATCCAACAATATAAAAAAGAATCATCCATTGTAGCATTTGAGAACTAGTAGAATCTGAGACGAACGCGGAATCTGGCATGATATGAGGTGTCCATTATGGTAAAGCTAAAACTAAGATAGGTCATTTGTCTAGTTGGTATCAATCATGGTTTTTAAAAGTGCCCAAGGCGTACGCCTCGGGGCGTGCCTCGTGGCGAGGCATTTCTTCACTGCCTCAAAGCTTACACTTTGAGGGGTGGGGGATGAGGCGCACGCCTCATCCATGTGAGGCGCACGCCTCCAAGCTGCACCTCACGCGTTAATAGAGGCGTGCGCCTCTCTGCTTCTGTGTTTTTGTGGGGTTTTCAAAACACAATAAACTTGGGCCCAAAATTTTAAAGCCAGCCCGAATTTAATAGGCCTAGAAAACATAAAAAAAACTCTAAGGGTACATTTAGTTGCAGTGGGGGAATGGTAATGGTAATGAGAATGGTAATGATAATAGAATGAAAAAGAAAATTGATTTATTTGTTTGGATGTAATTTTAGGAATACTATAGAATAGAACATGAATATTTTCATGTTGACAAAATTACTCTTATGTTACATATAACACTTATATTTTACATATCAATATAATTAATATAATATATAAAATGTAATATAATATAATAAAATTATTATTATATGGAGATGCGCTAAATTGTAACAACTATAGGGACATAAAGCTGATAAGTCACACTGTGAAGCTTTGGGAGAGAGTTATTGAAAAGATATTAAGGGCCACAACTACCATCTCAGGTAACCAATTTGGGTTCATGCCCGGTAGATCAACCATGGAGGCTATTTTTCTTCTTAGGATGTTGATTGAAAGGTATAAAATAGCTAAGAAAGATTTGCATATGGTCTTCATAGATTTAGAAAAGGCATATGATAGGGTACCAAGAGAAGTGTTATGATGGGTACTCGAGAAGAGAGGAGTGCATATGAGGTATATCAAGGTAATAAAGAATATGTACGATGGAGTTGTCGCAAGTGTGATAATTACTGGAGGCTACACGGAAGAGTTTCTCATTCAGATTGGCCTTCATCAAGGTTCCGCTCTTAGTCTTTATCTTTTCACTATCGTGAAGGACGAGCTAACAAGAAAAATTCAAGATGAGATTCCTTGGTGTATGCTTTTTGCAGACGATATAGTTTTAGTTGATGAACATCGAGGGAATTAACCGTAAGTTAAAACTATGTAGACAAACCCTTGAGACGAAGGGATTTAAGTTAAGTAGAATGAAAATTGAGTACATGCATTGTAGGTTTAGTAATTTGAGAGATCAGAGTGATAGAATTTCTTTAGATGGTGTGGTAATTGGGGCTTCTAAGAAATTTAAGTATCTTGGGTCCATAGTGAAGTGTGAAGGGGATATAGATGAGGATATTAGGCATAGGATTAAGGCGGGGTGGGTTAAGTGAAAAAATGTCACGAGAGCTTTATGTGATGATAAGATGCCTATTAAGTTGAAAGAAAAATTGTACAAGACAGCAATTCGCCCAACTATGTTATATGGTAGTAAATGATGTGCCATCAAGAGACAACAAATATACAAGATGAGTGTGGCAGAGATGCGTATGTTAAGATAGATGAGTGGCCATACGATGATGGATCGCATACAGAATGAAGTTATTCATAATAAAGTAGGTGTAGCACCAATAGAAGATAAAGTGCGGAAAAATCGTCTGAAGTGGTACGAGCATGTACAGCGTAAATTGTTAGATGCACCTGTTAATTTGGGCTGACGTAATTAAGCACGACTTTCAAGATCTAGAGCTTCAAGAAAGTCTCGCGTTTAATAGAGCAGACTGAAAACAAGAAATTCATATAGCCAACCTCAATTAATTTAGGATTAAGACTTGTATTTGTTGTTGTAATTTGATATTATATAATTATAATATAGAATATAATAATATTATTAAAATAATTAATATAATTATAATATTATTAAATACATTATAAGATTATATAATAAATAATAATATTTCAATTATAATATAATTAAAATTACAATTTACAACTATAGTATATAATACTATAATATAATTATAATATTATAAAACATATTATAGTATTATATAAGAAACAATAGTGTTTTATAATATAATTAAAATTACAATTTACAACTATAGTATATAATACTATAATATAATGAACTCGTTCCAAAATGATTTTGTTTTTTTGTATGAAAATGAAATTGAAAACGTTTTCAATCTCAAACAGAAATCATTTTTAAAAATGCATTTAGTAGTTTTATCAAGAGATTGTTTTCAGTGTATAAAAAATCATTAATGTCTCTCTTTCTCTCTCTACTCGAGAGAGGAAAAAACGAAAACAAAAAATGCAAGACGACTAAAAGTCGTTTTTCATTTCTCTCTCATTTTATACTAAACTAAAAAATCGTTTTCATTTCCCTTTTTTGTATTTATTGCGCCAAACACCGTTTTGGAAACGTTTTTATTTTTTCTTTCTCGAAAAACATGAAAAATAAAAACATAATCAATTCCAAACACGGCCAATATATCTAATTATAATATATTATATTATTATAATATATTATATTATAATATTTTTATTATATATTATATTATATTACATATTATAAGATATAACAACTATATAATATATTGTGATTATATTAAAATATTCAAGAGTAATTATGGAAAAAAAAGGAAAAAAAAGAGCTTAGAATTGCTATTCCTCACATGTGATGGAGGAATGATAATTCAATCAAAATGAGTGAATGGCCATTCTTTTTGAATGACCATTCCTTTCTTATAAATCCAACCAAACATCAAACTTGGATTCCATTCCATTCTATTCCTTTCATTTCCGCCCAACCAAATGCACCCTAAGAAATCAGTACAACCGACAATCATTAGAAGTTCAAAACAACCGACTAGCTAACTATCTCTCCTTCGCATCAGCTTCTCTCCTTCAAGCTTTGACTCTTAAAAGCAACAAGATACCAAGTACCTTTCTTAACTTGGTTCTTTTTTTTCTTTTTTTTTTCTTCTCTTGGTGGATATGAGTTATCCACCAAAACAAAAATTATGGTTTGCTGATTTAATATTTTAGCTTAATTTGGTGGGGTTTTTTTTTGGCTAATTTATGAGTTAATAGTTTTCTTATATAACGTTAATTATAATTATCATATTAAAGATAGTAACTCCAGTATAATTTTGATTATTAGGTGTTAGAGGCAAGGAGACCATTAAGTGGATGAAGAAGAGTGGATAGACTTTGACTCTAGCAATGAAGAATTTGTGGACAATGACAAACAAAAATTGGCTGAAGCTTCTCTTAGTACTAGTAGTGATGAATCTGATGATGCTTGATGAGTTGGGAGAAATCTAGGCTCTTAGAGGTGCATTATGGACCTTATGATATTAGGATTTGGTGACTATTTACTCTTTTTTATGCGTTTAGTAGGGAAATAGACTTGTCTTTTCATGAATTGAGTGGTTAAATTTCTTGTTTTTAATGATTATTGAGTAGGGATTTAGTTTTTCATCACTATTATTTTTTTTCTAAATTTTTTGTTTTTTTGGCATTTTTTGAGGCTTATGCCTCAAAGCGCCTTAGGCTTACGCCTTGCCTTGTAAAAGGCAAAACGCCTCGAGGCCCAATTCCACCTTTTAAAACCTTGGTATCAATGACCAGCAGACAAAGGAGAAATATGCTTAAACAGGTTATTTAGAATACATAATCTTTAGAGGAGTAATGTAACAAATTTACCAAAATCATACCTGCCGTATAAAAGTGGATTTCCCACCCATATTAGGTCCTGTGATGATTTGGAACCAACTTTTACCCCTCACCTGATAAGTGAAATAAAAAAGAGCAAGGAATAAAACCATCTATTATTTGTAACACTAAAAACAAAAGCTACTTATATTTCATCGAATTGCATGAATACTCACAAGTTCACAATCATTTGGTATAAAGTTCATCCAGTCCTGAGCTTCAACACAAGGGTGTCTACTCCCTTGTAAAATGATATCTCCCTCATCCTGTTATGATGATAACGTTCATTTAATATTTTCCATGAAGGGGAGGGAAAAAAAAAAGTCAACAGCACAGAATAAACAAGTAATAATTTACCGATGAAGTGATATCTGGTCTAGTGTAAGGAGTTGGACAACTAGAAGCCAAATCAGCAAAACTAAGTAAGACATCTAATTCAGAAAGCAGACCTGCCAATGACCCGAATACCTGCACATTAAATGTTTGTCAATCTGAACTAGGAATAACAATTAAGCATAAGAAACTTAGATATAACTATTACCTCAGAGAAAGTTGCCGCTGTTTGAACTACTCGGTTAACCAGTTCTTTCTGACAATTCTTGTACTCCTCAAGCATCTTTTGATACTTGTCTCCCAACTTCTTAAGCTTTGTGTTCGTAAATTTCACTCCATCCTTTCTAGTTTCCAGGACAATGAATTGGGTGGTAAGCTTCTTTCTTATTTTTGGCTCTTCCTTCTTCGTAATCCTAAATACATGTCCGAATTGTGTGCCCTTATCCAATTTCAAACCCTTATCCACTGGTAGATCAAGATCCTTGGCAGTTTGTTTATGCAAATTGCTTATTTCGCGGTCTAGCGACTCTTGTTCATCTCTCAATAAAGATAACGCAGGGTCATAACTAGATGATATCATGTATTCTCCATTCTCGAGTTGATCAAGGTCAACAGAAGTTTCCACTAGACCAATGAACTTATTCACATGCTCTTCATCCGTCAAGATTTCAAGAGAATCCAAGTACCTTTCCTTTATCAGTGAGGAAAATTGACCATCGTACTGTTGTAGAGCACTCTTTATGTATGGAAGTCTTATACATGACTGCATTTTGAGGAAGATTCTAATCATATTATAGACAGAACTTTCAACTACAAGATACGTAGAAAAAATTAGAACAAAGTACCTATTTACAGAATTAAAACTACTAATAATGTAATTGACAAAGAAAAGCCGAGACTTTTGGTCATGCTAACAAGAAAACACACTGAATGTAGCATTAAAAATAAATACTTAAAAATTTCTTCCAATCAACTTTTGTACTTTTGAGAAAAAAATTCATCATTTAATCTTTAATATGACATATAATTTAAGATGTAGATTATTCTTCCGCTAGAAGGAACTTAAGTGTCTAAGAAACAGGCTAAGGAATAAGATTAATCAAGCCATTGTCATAGCTCTCATATATGTGCATACCTAAAACAGAACATCTAAAACAGCAGCAACTACAAAGCACTATTAAATTTGACCAAGATAATAAATCCATAGACTCAACCTGGTAGAGTTTTACAATATGCTGCAGACCAACCCTTTTCTTCTCAAGATTGTTCGTCAGCCGCTCAATATCTGAAATTCTTTTAAGATGCTGCCTTAAATCTTGACGAAGTGCAGGATCTTCCACAAATGCTTGTACTAAATCCAGTCTGGAATTGATTTCATTTACATCTAACAGAGGCTGTTTCAGCCACATGTTCAACAATCGCTTTCCCATTCCGGCAGTACATGTTCTATTCATAAGGCCAAATAGACTGAAATTTTTGTTTGCGTCCGTTTTGCTTTCCAGGACATTAAGCGCCCTAATTGCAGCAGAATCTAATCTCATGTAGCTGTTGAGATTGTATTTTCGGATAGTATAATTTCCATAATTGGTCTCATCTGCCAGTAGATCTGCATAAGAGAGTAGCGCCCCTAAAGCACAAGGTGCAAAATCAAGCCCAGAAACTAAATCCCGAACTGGCTCTATAGAACCTTTGACAAGTCTACCAAGATCTTGCACCAGATCCCTTGTCTTAAACTCAGCCTTCTTTCTGTGAGTTAACATTACGCCGCATCTGGTCAATGAATCATACAAAGTTCTATTTTCATTAGATTTTCCAGTCTCTGCAGGCAAAAGACATTCCTTGCAACCAAGAGCAACCAAAGCTGATTCCACGTTGGTAAAGTGGCTGTCATCAAGAAACTCTGCAAGCCCAAGCACTCTTTTCGTTAGATCAACATAACCTAACCCAATAGTGCAACTATTTTCACGAAAGTTGGGTACTAGTGCAACAACAACAGGGGTGTCCTGCATCTCGTTGTTGGCAAATAAAATATCTTGGAAACTGCTGATATTTCCAGGAGTTCCACTTTTCACCAGTGTCCAATTTGAGCCGCTACCCTCATAGAGCTCAACAACATGGTCGGTTCTCTCCAAAAGAAGATCACGGGCTATTGTTTCAAACATGTTTCTACTGACGCTCACACTAGAGAGGCTATTTGAACCACTACCCAATTGTCGCAAAGCTGTGGTTGTATGGTAGTAGGTCTTTGCAATGAAGGTTGCATTTTCTCCATGAACAGTATAGTAGTCCTGTATATGTTCTACAGTTTTAGAAATATGACAACTGAATGATGCATGGAGGAACTAGGAAAAAGTATAGGAACACGTAGAAAAAGAAAATCCTCACACGTATGTGACAAAATGTGAGTAGTAAACAAAGCAAGGAAATGGGAAACTACCAGCAATATTATTGGTCTAGTTTGAACAATTAAACCATAACATGACATGCCATCATTTGAGAGAAAACATGGCGTGACAAAGAATAATCATGCATGTAGTAATTAGCTATGCACAAAATACAATTAAAATTCGGAGGCATAAAGGAAAAGAAGCCAAACTCAATTGAACCATGGTCACATCACACACGCGCACACGTGTGCACACACACAAGTCATATTTGAAAATTTAAAACAAACCCCTTTAAGAAGAAGTGGAGAAGTTTGAAACATTGCATTTATGATACCACCATCAAAACATCAGAATACCTTTTTTTCCCAAAAAATTAGGAACACTTCATAAACCAAAAGAACATCCATAAACATTCAGGCGGAAGGGGAAAAAAAATACAGAAGAAGACCAAGAACCATTTAAAGAATAAAGTCCCACTATGAATTTTCTAACACGCACGGCAATAAGACAAGCATATCTTGAAATATACACGGTAGTAATAACAAGAACTTTGATTATCCAAATAGTAAAGAACTCGTGAACAACTGAAACAAGGAGCCAATAGTTACAATGAATGCCGGAACAGAAAGACGAATGATGCAATAGAAATTTGGAATGTAACTGACCCGGCGATCAAAGAATCTAATAGCTCTTGGGTCCTGAAACAACAACATTAAAGAATAGTCATCTGATGCACCACTTTCAAAATACTCAAAACAAAATATTAATGGCAGTTATGTCCAAAATCCTGACCTGACCCCAATCTTCATATGCTTTTTTTTTTTGTTTATTTTTTCTATACCTTTAGAAACCAAGGACAAGCTAGATTATTGTTTGATTATCACATATGCAATTCAAATAAACCGTATCAAAACCTGTATGTTTTGCCATCACAATTGATCCCAAACATCACTATATTGCGTTAACTCACTAAAGTTTTCAACATTGAGACAAAACAGGGGGAAAAAAGCCAAGTCGGTCAAAATAAATTCTCTACCATTTTTATCCAATTCCCAATTCTCTACAAGTCTTCAGCAAGAAGGACATGAAAATATTAGCTATTAGTACTAAGTGACATGACCGATCCTAGTAGTACCGTATCCTTCAACCAAAAACCAAAAAGAACAAACAACTACCCATTAACTCTCATGTCTAATCTCTTTTCGTTCCCTCCATTTTCTTAGAAACCAAACAGGCAACTAGGGTTTTCACTCAAATTTCTCAAAATCTCAACCCTGCCAGAGCCAGGGCCAAATATAAAAAGAGGAAAACGAGATAGAAAACTCACCTGGGGAAGTCTTTTGAAGAATGAGAGAAACCCTTGAGCTTGCTTGGCATCTACCGAAAGATAAAAGAAAAAAAGAAGCGATTTTAGGTTTCATAAATATAATCAAAATGACAATCAAGTTTCAGAGCACAAAAAAAAAAAGACGATCAAGTTAGGGTTTTGTTTTTGTGGGTCTGACCTAGTTTGAGCTCAGGAAGCTTGTTCTGCTCCTCAAAATTCTCGTCCATGGCTGGTTTCCTGCTTAGGGTTTCTTCTGTTGTGGCACGAAAACTTCTCTCTTTGCAGATTGAAACAGAACAAATTAGTGCGTGTCTCTGTGCGTGTTTGTATACATATATAATTATATATACTGATACACTCCCAAATGTAAAATGGCAGAGTGGCGGGGACATGGGCAATTGGCGCGTTGACAGCACGCGCCGCGAGGTCATTGATGGCTGCGATTGCGGGCAACGCGTCCGGGCGTGCTGATTAAGGATCGATTCAATTGGGCTTACTAAAGCCGGCCTACGCGTTTGGGCCTGATATTTTGAGCGAAGGGTTAACATATGGCCTAATTACATTTATGTAATTGAAATACAGCTTAAGTTTGAGAATATTTCATGCATAGCCTAATTGTATAATGATATTTAAATAATTGTATTACGATATTACTTTTTTTAACCTTTTAATGATATTAATTTTTCAGGTAATCATAATAGTGTTCTATTTTTTCCTACAAAAAATCTAAATCCCATGAAATAAGGAATTCATATATCATTAAATCACAAATTAATTAAATTGTGACGATATGATAATATGGATATGATAATATGAATATGATAAGTGAATTTGATCTTTTCTACAAGTGCAAGTGCCTAACAATACTATCAATCATGAGAATGAGACGAATAGGGGGAATGATCCAATGTATATGTTAGACTTTCAAAGATTTAATTCGTTTGATATTTAATGAATACGTCATTTTAATATGACACAATGAAGGTCCATCTATTTTGTTTAATAATACACTATATTGTATCATTAAAATACATGCTCATTAAATTAATGACATTATTTTGTTTAACAACACACATATTACATCATTAAAAAACAACTCATTAATGACATTATCATATGTTTTTAACTGTCATTATCTATGTTTGAACTTTTCGTTAAAAATATTTCAAACTAGTATTTATCATATGTTAGCTTTTTAATCGTAGACGCTCATTTACAATTTAAATAAACCTAAATTTCAGATTCTCTCCTAAAGATACTCTACCAGATCCGCGTCAATAAATTAAAGGAAAAATAGAGAAGTTAGTTAAAATTAGAAATGCGCAACAAAAATCTATATAAAAAAACTGTCAAACAAAATTAATTAAAGGGGTATTTTTCGGGTGCCAATAAATGTATTTCAAAAAAGAAGTCATCATGTGATATTTGTAAAAGTCAGCCACATTTTTAATTCAACCCTGAAAAAAGAGTTATGTTATGTAATTTTTACTTTGCAATAAATTTGGGAAAAGAAGGAAAGAATTTGAAGGAAAGTATGTACCCATCCTTTGTTTGGTAGGAGGGGTTGTGCTAGGGAAAGAAAAAAAGGAGGGGGTTGTCTTTCCATGGACCCCACTAAAAATTAGGGATTGTTCATTTACATTTTTTAAATTAAGGTGACTTAAGTTCAGAGTTTGATTTGAGTTAAAGTGTAGTTGAGTATGATTTGAGCTATGACTTTAATTTGAGTTTATGTTTGGATGTACACATTTTAAGTTTTGATTTGAATTGAAAATCTATTTGAGTTTGTATTTGGACAAGTCAAAACTTAAATTTGTATTTGGATAGTATTTTAATAAAAACTCAATGGTGATATAAAAATTTAATAAGGTATATTGGTGAGGTTTTATTCGTCTCTTCGTTGTGAATACATAGAAAAAAATCATCTAAATTGGAATTAAAACGAAAAAATTATGGCATTTTTAATAATTGAAATAATATTGTTTATTAACTTGAGTTTGGGTTTAGGAACTTGAGTTGAACGGGGAACTTGAACTCAAATTTTAACTCCAAACTCAAGTTATAACTCAAGTTCAAACATAAATTTTACAAAAGAATATGAACTTAAATAAAATTGTAACTTGAGTTCAAACTTTTTTTAAATTTGAGTGCAAATGTTTTTTTAATTACCAAAAATTAAAATTACAACTTTACCTTTTCTTAATTTAATATTAATATATAAAATATTTTACGCTTTTTTTATTTTTTTTCAACAATTTGTTTTACGTTTCTTTATATAACTTATTCGTATTTGTATCAAACGTAACTTTTTTCTTTCTTTTTTAAATTTTTTTTGAATAAAAACTTTCGTTGATAAAACTTATATAATTGTGAGGCAATTGTTTTATGAAAATAAATATAAGCAATAAGCATTTAACTTAACACTATAAATTATTGAAACATATTTAATATCTACAGTATGAATTAGTTACATTTAAATTAAATCATTTATAAACTAAATATGTGAGGTAATTTATTTAACATTTAGGTAATATAATAATTTTATAAATCAAACTAATTCTCTCCTTCTATTTTCTTTTCAATACCAAACAAGAGAGAAAAATAACAATAATTATTCCTTCTATTATGCCAAATAAATTTCAGAAAAACTATAATCCATCTCTTTTTTCTCACTCTTCTTCCTTTATATCTTATTCATCCTTCTACCAATCCATCTCTTCGGACCCTTAAACCTTAAAAAGGCCACCGATTAATCTTTCACGCCAACGGGAGTTCGCGCGTTGACACAAGCGCCACGAGTCATTCTTTGATGCGACTGACGTCATCTTGACCGCGCGTGTAAACTAAGGCTTCATTTGGGCCCAAAATATATGGGCCTGGTATTCCAACTCGAAACTTGAAAACAGCCCAGCCATTTCCTTTTCCCGCCACTTATCTATTTAGCGATTGATTACACGAACACACGTGATCTTTAATCTTTTCGCTTTCAGAGATTCCATGGCTGAAAAGTTTGTCCGTCCGTACAACCTATAAAAAGCAGAAGAAACCCTATCCATGGAAGAGAAAAACCGTCGATGGACGAGAATTTCTCGAGCAGAGAGCGGCGATTCCCGAGCTTAAACTAGGTAAAAACCTTAGCCCTAATTGATTCCGAATATGAAATTTGTTTTCCATTTCTGAAAATCGCGAAATGAATTTCTCTGGTAATAATAATAATAAGCGGAGTCAGGAAAAAAAAAAAATTTGTTCGGTCTCAATCGCGAGAAATCGAAAATTGAACGTAAATGAAATTAGTTCCATACTGAATTTAGTAATTATTGATGTTCGTGGGTGAACATAATTTCCTTCCATAATTTCGAGATCTGAGATTGAAGTTCACCAGAAAAGTTCGTTAATTTTGGCATATGTATGAAAATTTCTCTCATTTCCTTTCTACTGTGATTTTTCTTATTCTTTTTTTTTTTTTTTTATGTTCGGTAGCCTTTTTTCTTTGACCTTATTTTTATGGGTTCCGGTGACAAAATTTTGGTAGAAGTAAAGGTAAAGTGATGAATGTTCTTCAGGGAAGCAATGTCAGCCATTTCAGAAATTACTTCTTTATTTAATTATTTTATTTATTTTTTGAAAGGATTTATTTTAATATTAAACTCTTCATGGAGAGACAGAATGTCTTTTCATGAGCGCCTTGATGTAGAACGTCACGTCCTTTTACTTGCCACATACTATATAATTTTTTACTTTGTTTCGTTAGAAATTTAAACTTAAATGTTCATACTACTATGGCGTAAGTATATAGTATAATTTCCGTACACAGTTTTCTTCTCTGTTTTTCAACTTAATTGTAATATTTCTTGTTGGAAAAAAAAAAAAAAAGCTGCAGCCAAATAAGAGAATTCTATGCATTAATAATGCCCTAGAGCAGTATGATGGTACTTATGATCTCTTTGAAAAGGATCATTGCTCTTGTAGGAATTTCTAGCTTATTGAGAACAATAAATACATCGTGTAGTTCTAGTTGTGGGGTCCTAAAATATGCACTGAAAATCTAACTAGGGTAACGTATTAATCATTTTTCATAAACAAACTGTGAATTGTACTCTTGATCTCTGTCCGAATTAGACTTTAGAATTAGACCAAGGAACCTCATTTGGGTCATTAAGGAGGCGGCTTACAGCACAAGCCCTTGTTTTGAGAACGACCCATTTTTCTGATTACTATATAAACCTATTATTTACTGCAGAATATTTTCAGTAATAGTTCTTGGTTTGCACTTGAGTGTTGGACTTATTGTGAATCTAAACTGTACAGAGAGAAAATTGATTGTCTCATTTCCTGTGGTAAAAGCTAGCAATTTGTAACTCTCTCCAACTAATTAATTTTGACTTCGTTGAATTAAATCCTGCATTATATCGTCATCCAGAATAAAGATTGTGCGCCGTGTTATAGAATAAAAATTTAGAATTGTATTTCTTAATTTGCAGATCCTAGCTCCAATTGAATGGGATATTGAGTTTTGCTTATACATAATTAATGCGTTCTTCAACGACCAAGTTTAAGAATTGTTCTTCTGCAGCCATTTGGAAGAAGTTATCTTTACTTTTCCCACCCCAAAAATTGATCATGTTTACTGACATGTTAGGATGAATGTATTAAATCAGTTTAATTACTTGAATTATTCTAGCTCAAAACAAATTCATGAAGATTCATTGTTGTGTTTATTATGTCATTTTTCACCGTCACCAGCAAAAAGCAATGGGAGTATTTGATCAGAACAAGGGAGTAAAATGGCTTGATATGAACATCTATACACATTCAACTGGAAGTGAAATTGACAGTCATCAGTCAAAAGGAAAACGTAATTAATCATTGGCTTATTTTCATTTTTATTTTTTTTTTAACAAGAAAAGGTCGATTAGTTTAGTCCAGAACATAACTAGAAAACCTTCTGATGTTTTTTGCTTTCCTTTTTGTTGTTGTTGTTGTGTGGTCTTAAATGTCATAGCTCTCTACTGAGCTTGGAAACATGATCAACCTGTCATGAAATACTGGTCCACCCGACATCTAGTTATATATTAATTCCATGTACAATAATTTAGCCAAGAAATCAGAGGGGCCTGTCAAGTAGGCGGTGGAGTACCTTGAAGCAAAAGATATTGGATTGATTTTTATGTGTGGCCAACAAAAAGTATTTTCTAGTTATAGTACAAATTTATTTGCAATATCAACTGCCATTCTAAACAGGTAGCTTCATGGGGAAAACACGTCCAGAAAGAATGCATGGATGGTGTTTAAAGACATATCATTGATTATGACTAGTCATTTTGGAACTATATTATAACCCATTTT